GCGTAATTCTCGGTCATGGTCAAAGTCAAACATTCCTAACGGTCCAGCATCTGCCATAATAGCCCTGGCCTGGCAGTGCTGGTATTTCAAGAGTGTCTTTTCTGACACAAACAAAGTGCGTTGCTCCCTTCCCAGAGCGCAGTGACCTCACTGACTCATGGCCGCGTACAATGAATGAATGGCCAAAGTTCTCACAAAACGTTTGGAGCAGGTCATGGGAACGATAATCACTTAACGAGAAACCTGTAAAAAATATACCCCTGCTGTTCACGTATGCCTAGCCTTTGAGCACCCCTTTGCGCACTCATTCGCTTTCTCCTTGCAGTTCTTTCTTCGGACCTGGGAAGGGCGTCAACTACGCAGTTGGTTCATGTTTTGCTTTTGCGCTTATTATTAGCTTCACTGTTCTGTCGGTTGGCACTTTGAACAAAGCACTGGAGGCGCTCTTACTGCGGAGTCGATTAAGAGTACGCTCAGGGTAAACAAGATTACACACTATTTCACGTGATCAAACGTTCGAATCTGCTACTGCAGGTTCTTGGACAAAAACATTTTGAAATTGGCAATGATATGAGACATAGTTGGGTTTTTTTAAAGACCGTTTATTACGATAGGAATAATATATATTTCCTTCTTTTCAATTCAAATACATGTTTCTGTAAAATGATTGTATAGGTTTGATAGTTCCAAACTTTAAAGGAGAAACTTAAACAAATTACTAGAATTACAACTTTCATTTAATCAACTCTAATTAGTTTTTCTTAAGTTTAAGTATGTATTTTAAGACACTTGCAATACAAAAAGATCAGAGAGAGCAAAAGATTAGATGAGTTATTAGAGAAAAGCATACAAAGAAAAGAAATTTGAGATGAGGACGATGTATACTTGATAAGACAGAAGGAGCAAACCACACCAGAGCTCCCGCCAACCACCCACAACGACCTTGTGAAAGACACAGGTTTTATTGAGGGGGGGGGGGCGTTCTTTCCTTGGGTTTCAGTGTCTGCTTTGTAAAGGGCAGGGTTGTTTTTGGTTGTTGTTGTTGTTTGGTTGGGGTTTTTTTGGTTGTTTTTTTTCGTTGCTTGAAATGTAGTACGCTTTCCGCATTAAAGAGCCTATCTTATTCAGTATCATTATCGTTCTGCTGGGCTGGTGCATCGCAACAAGCTGGGGTTAACCGGGATAGGTGAGGGTCGAAGCAGCCGGCGTCCTTAATGATCTTAATTGTGTCATGGGGGACGAAGAACATTTACTATCGCAGCTATCATATTCTGTACTGAGGTCGCTCAGAGAAACGTAATGTAACCCCTGAACCGTAGGCTGCGCTCTCAAGCACTCGTAGCAACCAACTTGTTATTTTTCCTATGGCGAGTAGCAAAAGGATTTGTCTAAATAAATTCATGTCCGTAAAGGAGTAGTGTGCTCAAGGAGTACAGGGATCCCGCTGACTTTGGGATAAATTCCTCATTATAACGACTGATGGGCGGGTCTCGTTCCCGAGCTTTGAAAAAACGCGTTGCGTATTCGATTCTTCTACTTTTAAATCTCAGCCAGAAATGGTCCTAGGTCAGATGTATGCCACCTCATTACGCCCTGATTCATTGTAAATGTTTAACGTTTTCATCAACATAATTTGAATCATTTAAGTGATGAGCTATCGGGCTGAATTGGATAGGGTATTCCAGGTGAAAGAATAGAATCTCGATAACATGTCTTCCCAACATGGGAATCTAACTCACTTTGGGGGGCCAGCCTTTACATCACAGACTTCAATCCGTCAAATTCTTTTCTTTTGAAACTTATTTAAACGAACGAGATAAATAACCTATCTATATTACTTTTACATCTGAGTCCTTTATGGAGGTTTAACTAAAGACAAACTGAAACAACTTTTGTCACAGGCAGTAAGTATGAGGCAAAAGATTCCCGTTCAACTGCTGATACACTCGATTACGTAAGCCGTTGCCATGGAAACGGCGACTATCTTGAAAATTGTATTTTTAAAAATTTTCTCCACCTTTTCTACAATTTTTTCGTTTTTTAAATTCTCTAACTTGCAAAATGCACAAAGAAATAGGTGCTTGCAGCTGGCTATATTGACTTTTGATTCTATACTTAGAAAGTATCCAAAATTATTGTTCTCAAAGTTGGGGATATGGAATTTGATCTTGGAAAAATATTTTTGGCATTTAAAAAAATTGTAAAAAGAATTCTAAAGCAGAATGTAAAAAACAAAAAAACAACAACAACTAACCAGCCTACTACAAGTACAAACTATTTCTCTAACTACATGCCAAATTTCAAGTCTCTGAGTTGGAAAATTTAAAAAACAACGATGGAGAAAAAAAAATGACAATGACAATCTTTATTCGTCTCACAGGGAGACATTTGTCTTGGTCGTTAACAATGGCAGTAGACGTTACAAAAGTTAGACCTAAAGGTGCACTCACGCAAACGCAAAACAAGACAGGACATTAGGCCAAGTAAATACTTGTCTCAAGTGCTGAGACAACCCGCTCCGTAAATCATTCTCTCTCTCTCTCTCTCTCTCTCTCTCTCTCTCTCTCTCTCTCTCTCTCTCTCTCTCTCTCTCTCTCTCTCTCTCTCTCTCTCTCTCTCTCCCTGTGTGTGCTTCATTTGTTGCACTGTGTGTTCAATAACCTCTCTGCAGTTGGTACAAATGAATATCTATATCTGTATGTTCTTGCTTTTTTGGAAATGTATCGTTTTACTGCGGGTCGATAGTTGAAATTCCGATGTCTGTGGGTGGCTATGGTCACTAAACATTTATTTCCGCCTTTTTAAGAACGTTTGTCTTGTGCAGATATTCAAAGTTACTTAAGTCTCTACCAATTGTTCTTGATGCCTTTCTTATCATCTTGTTTATTTTTATCATGTGCTACCTTCCCAAATTGCTACCATAGCAAGTGATACCAAATTTTATCAAAGTTTCTATGGTGGTGGTGTAGAATATCTGAAGGATGGATGGATTCAGATTGAAAAACCTCCAGAAAGTACAGCCTCTGACTTACCTTTTTAACGATATTGTTTACGTGGTAAAAGGCACATGCAAGCAAACAGTGGTTTTAAAAGTGTGTGTTTTGATCAAAACAAGGTTAAACATCGAAAATGTTAGTACACAACTTAGAACCCAATCAAATTAAATTCTGTTAATGTTAATCACTCAGCCACTAGTATGAATTAATATCAAGACTGAATGAGGGATCGGAGAATAACAAAAGTAAAACAAACGCAGAGTGAGTGAAAATCAGTCCCCGGGGCCATAGACCCGACCCTCGAACCCCCTGAACACCGGCTGCCAATGAGCATCACAGGAGTGGGCTTCAATAAATGGGCGTGATCAGATAGGTTTTCTCCTCGGTGAAAGTAGGCAGGGGCACTCGTGGGAGACATTTCAACATACATTGACCCAGTCTCCAAAAATAATATGACTTCGTGACGCTGATTGATAATGATAATGCTAAATTACACGCGTCATCCCACGACAGTTGCTATTTTTGTGTTTTTTTCCCGTGGGGGCGTGAAACAGATGGGGAGTGGGGTAGATAATTCCAACGTTCTAAACAACTTGCTGGTGCCTCTAAATGTACACAATTTCATCAGTTGAAATTATTGGATCCCCTCAAACTCTTCTCTGCTTTCTTTGAAAGCGTGCAGAGAACGTTACTGCGATCTGTATCTATGATATCCCATTTAGCTCTCACTTTTCTATTGAAACTTATTTTTAAAAGAACGACCCACCTATATTGCTTTAACATTCAAGTCCTTTTACCACCGGCTGCCGCTTTAAGCATCACTGGGGTGCGCATCAATAAATCGGCGTGATCAGCAAGGTTTTCTCGTGGGTGAAAGTAGACAGGGGCAGACGGGGGAGACATTTCAACATACCTTGACTTTCCCCAGTCTCCAAAATGTATATGGCTTAGTGAGGCTGATAGATAATGCTTAAGTACACACACGTCATCCCACGACGGCTGCTATATTTGTTGTTTGCACCTGGGGGCGGGGGAGGGAAGGGAGAAGGGTAGACAGGTTCAAAGTTCCAAACACCTTGCGAGTGTCTCTAACGGTACAACATAGTTTAATCAACTGAAACTATTGGATCCTCTCAAACACTTGTCTACTTTCTCTGAAAGCGCGCAGATAACGTAACTACGACCTGTATCTGTAATCCGATTTAATCTTGCTTACAGTTCAACCAACAAGTTTATCCTTCTACTCGACAAGTTCGTGATGCGGTGAGGATACACATCACTTGCACGTACCATATTCGGTTGTCTGTCTCTAATGACGTACCCGACAGTAATGCAGCATTCCCTCACTGCCCATCCCTACTAAAAGAAAAGGAAACGAGGTGGACAGTATGGCAGTGAATGGGTAGAGAAGCAGTAATGTATTATTTAAGTAAGGGTGTAATTTATAGACGATAAGCAAGAGAGAGAGAGGGGGGAGGGAGAGAGAGAGAGAGAGAGAGAGAGAGGGGGGGGGGAGGGAGAGAGAAAGAGAGAGACAGAGAGATAGAGACCGACAGACAGACAGACAGGTAGACAGACAGATAGACAGACAGACTGACAGACAGACAGATAGACAGACAGACAGACAGACAGACAGACAGACAGACAGACAGACAGACAGACAGACAGACAGAGTTCAGACGAAAATAAGGAGGAGGAGGAAAAGGGGTAGAAACAAGTGATAGTATTGAGGTCGGAGGAAGAGGAACTCAAGGAAGAGGAGGAGGAAGTGGCTGATGATGGAGAAAGAAAAAGAGGAGGAGGAGGATGGAGGAGGAAGAAGAGAAGAGGAGGAGGAGGAGGAAGAGATGGCGGATGCCATGAAAAAGAGGACAATGATACCATACACATTGGAAACATCAATAAATGGTTAATGTTTGTTGTATGAATGTAGTGTCGATACAACTAAAACAACAAATGTGAAACTCTTTTTAATAAATGCTTTTTTTCCTCTTGTCGTAACAGCACCGATGTCTCAAAGACTGAATCTGACGGACTCCGTATATTTTTCGCCCCCAATTCACTTATACATCTCAAAGATCAAGACAGCGTACTTGTGGTTCTACATCAGGCGGCAGGATATTCGTCGACCGTACATTACTTTGACTGTGGAACGCATCCTACCAGAGTCACTACCTGACAACAGAATTGTGGCCAAGCCCATTTTCTCACAAAAACTGTTCCGAGACAAAGCTTTCGGGTGGAAGAGGATAGACATGAGGGATACCCTGTCTCGCTGGGTGAGGCATCCTATGTCCAACTATGGTCTTCTTCTCCGGGCAGAAGATGACCACGGCAACAACTTGGTAGTATTGCCGCCTTCCCCGGACATAGACAAAGGATATGTAAGTCACGAGTATTCCTTCCCATATTTATTTCTTTACTAAGTTATAGTTTTAATGTTATCGTCCTATGAATACTTACTAGAGAAAACAATAAATTAAAAAATCATTATAATGAAAGCATTTTTTTTCATTACTTAAAATGAGACTTATCAATCTAGTTTTATTTCTATCTACTAAGTGAAACTTTTATGATTTGGAGGCATTTTTTTTCTTTCGGGGGGGGGGGGGGGGGGCAGAGAATGAGTAAGGGGAAAGGATTAGTGTTTGTATCTGTTTCTTTTGATTTACTCTCAGAAATCGCAGTGGTGTCTTGTTACATTATAGGTGAATTAAAGGCGGGGATTCATGTACTATAGCTCTGACTAAAAACAAAGGTAATTTGGTTGAATCAAATTACAAAGTAAGGAGATTCAAGCGGTCATTATGTCCTTGTCTAAAACATTGCAAAACAAATACCAGTAAGAGTTCTCACACTAGTTGCTTAACGGCCGCGTTACTTGAAGGAAGAGCGCGCCCTCGAACGACAAACCTATTATTGTTCTCCATCCCTTGATCTAAAATCTTTGTAAAGGCGAAAATCTTACCGGTGATACTCTAGTGAGTCGCCATCAATATTTGCACAGGATTTTGTATACCTTAGCCTTGTGAGTTTGGGATATTTTAGTTGAAAACCTGAAGTTGTTAGATTCGGCCAGCAAGGTAATCTTAAACGATGGTAGATCGTTTTTCTTTGTCGATTTCAAGTCCCGTCTTTGACAACAGACAGGCGCGGTTCGTCCATCGTGCAGTGCCGCCCAAAATTTCTTAATGATTTATTACGAAAAGTACCCGCAAACATGAAATCAAAGAAGCCAGAAAGAAACACTAGCCAAATATTATATCAAAACAAGGTCCTCGCTGGCGCCGTCAAAAGTGCAGTGAAACATCTACTATGCCACGCCAAAGTCCTCACGCTTTAACCAAACATAATAGGACTTCAACAGTGGCAACCTGACCTATTAATCGCTCTTTGTGATAACTCAAGCGATGACGACACTCGTGGCGAGTTTGGCCGCACATTAATATTAATAAGACGGCACATCTCAAATGTGCACCCACAAAACATAGCCCACAGTAGGCAGTCTAATAATAAACGCTATGTACTGTACACTATTCTATGCCAAAATTACGTGATCCCCGGAGCAATCCAGCAGAGTACTGAACTGAATTGTGATTGGTTCATTGGTCTTGCCACTATTTTAAGCGATTCTGTGTCCGTGAACCTGAGGGAGGTAAACGTGGCATACTTTAGTTTAGTCACCGTCCTAGAGAGTTGTGCCTTTGAATGGTTTTGTAGTGGAGTAGTGAAAGTTGTTAATTGACTGTTTAGATCCAATGCAGGATAAAGAAATTGATGTTTAACTAACAAACAGATTTACATGTAGTTCTAGAAATCAAAGCAACAAGTCAAAAGAATGAAAACAAAAGCATAAGGTCCTCCTTCACCAACTCAAAGATCCTACCGTCCCATTTACTATGCCCTTGACTATCTCCAACCTGCTATAGCTTAATTATGCTCGCCCACTTTTTTGCCCCACGAGCCTCCCCTGACAGCAGACGTTAGTTGCTGAGATTTTTTTATTGTTAATGTAGTTCTCTGCTGCTCTTCCTCCAGATTTAACAGGAAAGTGAAAATATTATGATGGTAGGGTTTTGTAAAATAACTTCGGACGTGGGAGCGAGGACTTTCACATGCGCTGGTGGTTCTTGTGGACTCTTGTCCTGCCCACATTATACCCTGGTTCGAAGCTTGCGCTGATGTACGTGCTGAATCTTTTGCCGTGCACAGCAACACCATGAACTGAAACATTAACTACTGTTGTCATCGAGAACGAATATATTATATTAATGGAAAAAGTTGTCGTTCTAGGAGGCTTCATCAAGGATCGTACATACAAGATAGTTCACTCCTCTCTTTGAGCCAATTGAAAAAGTGTCCTCAACATCCGGTGGCGCCCTCTTCGAAAAAGCGCCCGCTTTGCGAACAGAGTTGTCCTACTTCTGTGAAAAACAATAAAAGTGAAACTAACAAGTCGTGCAATTCCTATTCTTCTTCTGGAGAAACGAAAGAGAGCTTGAAAACAGAGACCTCGGCGCGATCTGAAGCAATGCGGACTTCCGCGGACACTTTTTTGGCTGAGTGAACAATCTTGTATGTACAAATGTACTATCTTCAGCTGCAAGCCCGTCATTTGAGGGTAGCCTACGGGTAAAGTTCGTCGTTCGAGAGTGTGCGTCCGGGAGTGACGTGAGGGGGAGGTGGAACCAAAATGTTGGGCACGGTTGTCTCGACCAGTTGTTCTTATCCTAGTAGGAAGTAGTGAACAGCACAAGTTTCGTACGTGCATTCACTCAACCCTTCGAGTTGGGAGGAATGGAAGGGAAGCACACAAGCACGCAAACACACACACATACACACACACACACACACACACACACACACACACACACACACACACAAACACACCCGCACGCACACACACACACACACACACACACACACACACTGGCACGCACACACGCACGCACACGCGCAAACACAGAGAGAAAGAGAGAGAGAGAGAGAGAGAGAGAGAGAGAGAGAGAGAGAGAGAGAGAGAGAGAGATAGAGAGAGAGAGACGTGTGTCTTGACCTACGCTGAGTCCCTGAGACTGACTCGCCGAATTTGTCGGTTTCAGTACCACCCAGGTTAAAAACCACTGGTTGAGACATATATTTTTCAAAAAGGGGACTTGAAAACACAATGTGTGGATGTAGAGTTCGGTGGACTCCCATTAAGCATCCCTTTTGCAGAAATAGTATAATTAAGAAAAGAAGAGACAGGCAGTTTGCAGCTTGTCAGGTGCATTTGGAACAAAGCTAGGGGTCGCCAAACTACGGCCCGATGGCCAGATCAGGCTTGCAATCGCACATCGTCTTGCCAGAAGCAAAGGCAACAAGGCCGAGGTGGGGACTTGGAAGATATGTATTTTTTAGCCTGCTCAGGATTCGGGCATCAAAATAATAATTTCATCATCACATGAAGTTTATGGCGCACATTAAACGTGTTTTGTGGAACTCATAAGTTCTTCTTAATATTTCACTCTCTTTTACGGGTTTAATGTGACAAATCCGCTTTTAACTCATCATTTGAACATGCTGACACTCTTTCAATTATGTGGCCCTGGTATAAGCCGAAATGTGTGCCTTTATTTTTGTGTCACGAAAGTATATTTTTTTCATATTGCTCTAAAGCTGACCGAAGCCGTGTCATCAACTCTTTCCGTAGTCTTAACAGCAACTTCAGAAACTTAGCCAAACGTTGATCGCCCACCCTTTTTATGTAGATCCACTCTCCGTACATAAGTGGTAATTTTTATTAACTCTTTTTGAGGTCTATATTTTGTTATGGGATGAGCATACTTAATTAAGCTAGTCCCCTCAGACACGCCCCCTCCACCGCCCGTATATATGAGTCATTTTATTTCATCTAATTTAGAAATAATTATTGTCACAAACCGTTCCCAAGTAGTAAATTGCTCTGTTGAAAAATGGGCCAGCTTAGTAACTTGGGGAAAAGTCGCTATAATGACATATATGTCGGGCAATTGGCAGGGGACACTGTGGATGGTTTTTTTCTCAAAGTCTTGAAATCTGTTGGTTACTTAAACAGGTAAAATAATTATAGATTTCAAAATCAAATGTACGAAGTTTTATTTTCTGGTCTTGAAGTAATTTAGCAAAGAAGTACCAACTAAACTAAGTCGTTTATATTTAAAGCCATTCAAAATTCCAATTGCGCAATTTTTAAACAAAATTTTAAAAAGCTGCAGGAAACTGTGGTCAAAGATTTCTACCAACTTACCTGTACCCATTGTATTCCCAGGAGCCCTGGCTTGACACGAAGATTATGGAGCCTCGTTCACACAGCAGACACCGACGCTCTGACTCTCTCGTCTGCAGCCGGAACTCCACAGAGTCCAGATGCTGCCGCTTCCCGCTCTTTGTGGGCTTCGCCGAGTTCGGCTGGGATTGGGTCATAGCACCGACCCACGTCAAGGTAGATTACTGCTCCGGGGAATGTCGCATGACCATGCAAGGCACCTCCCTGAACAGCTGGGTCAACCAACAGGTTCCCGGGGTCGGGGACGCCTGCTGTGCCCCCTCCAAAATGTCGCCCTTGCCGCTGTTGTATTTTGACGAGGACATGAACATTTTGTACCAAATTCTACAAAATATCAAAGTGGACAAGTGCGCTTGCGCTTAGCTGTATGGCTTTTGGTGCTTCCACTCTGTCTCTGTCTCTCTTTCT